AAACGAAGAACCCGGATGGTGTGGTGTTGAAGTGCACTACTCCTCGGTAAGGACAATAGCGCGTTCGTTCCCTACCGCAAGCACCTGCGGACCGGACTTTTGCAAATATCTCAGCATTATATAAGCTATATTTCGTAATATACCGTGCCATTAAAAAGAGGCGACAGTAAATAATAAGTTGAAAATTGTATGAGATTTGTTTCTATAACGCGTAACTTTTCTACTGTTGTCATGCAATTAGTTTGTATCTTTTGTGTACCAATTATTTATGCTCTCGTAGACAGCTCCGATTCAATGAGAAAATGGTCACTATCAGCAGATCTTTCTTTGTAAGAATTCTTCCCACTATCGTACATAATCTTAATTCAACAAGTTTCCTGCTTAAATACTACTGTGTTTAGCAGGATTTGGGTGGCACGTGTCGCTCTCGAGAACGTGCAGCACAACGGCGAGGCGGCATCGCGGACACAAACAATGGTTCAAAGAAAAATGAGGCAGATACGAAAGAGAAGGCAAACATCTTCATGAAAGTATGTAGGAACAAAGCAATCTCACTTTCTCTTATATACCGTAATCCAGTTTTCGGCTAGAATTTCTCCTTCTTTCGTTTTCGTTGATTCAAAATATTTCACTAATGGTCTGACAGGAACGTTGACAATCTTTTCCCAATGAAAATTTCGCATATGTAAACGCTCATTAGAATCCACCCTAATGCAAATTCTACTGATGTCATTTAAAAGATGATGAAGAGTAGATAACGTTGAAATCACCCCATAGGAGGTTTTTATGCCACTATAAATTTTGATTTTGTTTGTCATTCCTTTTCGCCGCACAGCAACAAGGGATATCTGTAACTCTACAGGCGTTATCGATAAGAGGCCTCTTAAGTTGAATCGTCCTCAAATATTTTACGCCACATTTGTTCCATTCCAGTTTTCAACATCTAACTCATTTAATGCGTCATTTCCAATGTTTGCTTTTCGTTAACTGACCATAATTTCTCGATCACTAGAGTAATTAAGAGTTGAGAACTTAGTAGACTTATAGAAGAGACTTAGTTTCGTCGCATTAGAATTTCTACAACGATATTAACATGGACTTCAAAAGAGGGGCTAGGCAAGACGATACCATCTCGCCAAAATTTTTTACCGCCACCCTCCAGAACGTCATGCGAACATTGGAATGGTATAACATGGGAATGAAAATCGATGGCCGGCAATTACACCATCTTCGCTTTGCTGATGACATCGTCCATATAACACCAAACATTAGCCAAACAGAACGTATGCTTGCCGATTTTAATAACGCCTGTGGAAGGGTTGGTCTTCAACTGAATTTCACAAAAACGATGGTCATGAAGAACGGATTGGTTTCACAGAACCCATTCACGCTCAACGAAACGAATATCTCCGAAAGCTCCAGTTACGTTTATCCAGGTCGGGAAATCAATATGATGAGCGACTCAGTTCCAGAGTTGAGCAAAAGGAAACGAGCAGCTTGGGGAGCTCTCAAGAGCATCGAAGATGTAGTGAAAAGAACATAGAACATCCGACTTCGTCACCACCTTTTCAACTCAACGGCACTTCCTGCGTTAACGTGTGGGTCAGGAACTTGGTCGCTGCGTAAACGGGATGAAAAATCACTCAGCGTTATCGAACGTGCAGTCAAAAGGCCGATGCTAGGAGTATCCCGTTTCACACAAATAAGGGATGGGATCCGAAGCTGCGACCTGTGCCAACGATCAAAAATTAAAGATACTGCTCTGTACACTAAACAGTCGAAGGTAAGGTGGGCCGAACACGTAATGCGTATGAGTGATAACCGATGGACAACAGCCGTTAGTGACTGAATTCCTCGGGATGTCAAACGTACTGGAGGATGACTACCGACCAGATTGTCAGGGTTCTTCACGAACAGCGTAAAAGAAAGATATGATGCACGACGAGTTCCTGGATCGAGCAGAACCCACTAAGCTACTCTTGCACGCGACAGGGAAATTGGAAGATTTACTGGCGTCCGCTCGAATCACTCTGCGATCAACGGGACTACAGCTGATACAGGTGATTTACAGGCTCTCAATTTCGGATTCCTGCAATTAAGATTTCTAAACGAATAAAAGTGAGCTCTACGTTTTTTAGAATATCCAAAACCATTAGGGAAGGCACAAAGAGCACTGATAGATTATGGAAGACAACAGTGCATCGGTGAACAAAATTCTGATTGATCAATAGCTTTATCTTTTAAAAATACTAATCTGACCTGAGAAAAAGTTAGTTTGTTCGTCACCATAAAAGTCAAAGTTTCATTTTGGTGGAAAAGATCTCATTGATAAGAATCTATACTATCTGCTGACTTTTTCCCAGTTGATAAAGATTTGCTTCCAACGGCTTGCCACCTCATCGTGGCCGGGAGGTGTTCCTGGGTGTCGAACTGCGATGTAGACCAGAGATTCATCTCCCTGGTAGGTTCTCCCAAGCTGGAAAGGAGTCCAGCGTTTTCATCAGAAAGCTCAGCTAAGAGTAAACGAATACTAGGTTCCACCACTGTCCTGGTATCAAACTAGTCGCATGGTGGCAATTCTTCCTCCGGTCCACAAAGGCTGCAACTGCCTGTGGCGATGACAACCTGTTGCAGACGTTGGCCTGGCTCCCCTCAAGCCTCCAGGGATCCACAATGGCTAAGCCAGAACAGCTCCGAGAAAGTGGAGATTACGCTGGAGTAACTTCGAGTTCGTTGTTGTCCTAAGGGAGTGAGAATTTAGTAAAAACACTAATATGGACCTAACGAGAACTTTTTCTCATCGTTCTATCATTTCTCATGAGAACAACACCGTTGTAAATACAGAATTTTACATTTTTTATGTGCATTTTTATAAAAGAAAACAACTCGAAGAGGGGAGGCAGGCTGTTGCTCTGTAATATCAAAAAGCTTGATTTTAAACGTACACGCACACCCGCGCACACACACACACACACACACACACACGCACACGCACACGCGCACGCAACCCCACACCACTTTACACTAACTAACTTTTAGCTTACTTTTTGATGCTTGCTTTAATTACTAATAAAATTTTACAGATTAGGAAGCGAAAAGATGATGATACATTGCGTGAAGTTGGAAACGTAATGCCGGAGTATGATTGCGATAAGGTTCCTCTTTCTTCTAAACTATTTCTTCCCATTTTTCAATCTTTATGCAACTTGTGGAATTTGCGAACAAATTGCAGCGGAACTGTATCTGTAGTGCTAGAGCTTTGCCACTGTCAAATTGTAGTGAACTCGTGTGGGAGAGAATGAGCTGAAACTTTTCCACGAGTTTCGTACTTTCCGTTATTTAAAATTTCTTCACAAACCATGAAATTCGCAAAAAATAGCAAGGAGCAGAAATTACTGAATCTTAGTACAAGTTCTGCAGGATGATGCTCAGAAACAATCTATTGAAAGAACTCAGGACAGCAAGGAGAGCAACGATACCGCGCCTTCGAAGAATTAAAAACTTCATTTAATGCGCTTAAGTTTCAAGTTTTACTATATGACATATTGAGATATACGTGAACGGTATTAATAAAAGTTGGAAGTTGTGACTTATAAACACTGCATCCTGGCCTCGAAGTTCTACATCGCTTGCTCGCTATACTCTTCGAAACCGCATCCTGATTCTTCTTTTACTACATAATGGACTCAGCACTATGCCATCGAAGAATCGGAAACGACACGGAAATCAAGAAGGCATAGACCACGAATTATTTTTCGGACCTTAAAAACACGTTTGGAAATCTGTTTTACAAAATTTTTCCAGGACTCTGCGTATATTTCGAAAACTGATAAGATTTTTGGGTATATTTCACATCATATCTTGCTATAAAAAAAATCGGAAGTAAATAAAATGGTGACTACTGATGCGATTACGTAGCCTCCTTTGCCTGCTCGTCTGTGTCACTCGTACTCTTCGTTTATCGTCAAATGTATCGATATGTATATGTATAATGTATAATGTATAATCGCAATGTATATGTATAATGTATATGTATCGAGAAGGCACCTGTAAAGTTTTTTTGTCCATGTCGTAGACATGACTGGCCCAAAGGATTGTGCTAGCTTTGGGAACCATGTGAACATCATTCTTTCTTCGGACTAGGGTCTCCGATAAAAATATTGGGCATCAGGTAAGTGGGGTTCCTAACCTGTGGTCGACAATCCAATGTAGCCAATCACTTGCAGCTTTTCTTAATTTCTTGCGGGCTTAATACAGATTACCTATTCAACCCATCCTTACTTTCTCCATCTTGTTCTCTATGACGGTGTCTCTGTTTTTTAAAAGTCGGTATAGATCAAAGCTTCGGACTTTCCCTCTCACATGCACACTACCGGATACTCCTTCTAAAGCATGACGAACCGAGTCTGCAGGATGGATTGTCTTCAGGAAAGCAAATTACCAGCAACAGACAACCACGCGTCAACAGTACTGTATAAAAGAGTGTTCCGTAATGAAGTTACTTAGTTCTTATAGTACTCCAATCAATCGATTTCGACTCGATGTTACTACAAGGAACTACATCGCTAGAAACAACTGGTGTAGGCAGTCGATTTGAACCAAAGCGACTATGAAGAAAGCGATAGCACCGAAAGTTTAGCCACAGTGAACGGTTTTGTTACAAGAACCTTGTTCAGCTTCGCGAATACAACAGAGCACAGATATGCGATCACTGAATGAAGGAAGGCAAAAGGTTATTACTATACGTTTCTGAGAGTTTAATGATTAAACAAGCAGTGTACAGATTGATTCCAGAGGATTCATACGATGATTTTCAAGCGATTTTATCTCACCTAATAGGCAATGCTTAAACAATCACTTTAGAAAAAACGTCCATGATTATGGATACTGTAAGAGGAACTGAACACAATCACTCAACAAGGAATAACGTAAAACAATTTTTGGACAAGAAGAAATACAAATGAAGTAGGATCCACAAAAAATGTGGAAGTGTCATTAATTCATTGACATTTCAATTTCGCATCACGCTTATGGGAACTAATAACACTGAAAACTTTACAAAGAGCGAATACAGTAGTACACAACACAAATGCGAGAGCTGCAAATACGTCGAGATTGAAGTAGATTATGGAATTCATTCGTGAGCCTTCGACATGCAATATGTCAAGCACTCCATGTCGGACAGCAAATTCTGTCCATTTTATTAGCCGCTCTTCAGGTGAAAAAGGCTTCTCTGACATGAGCTTTGACAAACGAACAGCATTTGTCTTGTATCTGAAAGAATATGTATACACATGTATATACATATATACACGTATATGTGCATGTACATATATATATATATATATATAAATGTATATTTATGTATCATTCTACATACATATGTATTTATCATCATATATGCATAAATATGTATTTATATGAATGCGTCGTTTTCTTGTTCAGCAATCGCGAGGTTTTTAAGCAGTATACATTTACTTCCATAGAAAAACACAATACAATACAACACTGGCTGACATTTCGGCACGTCCTCATTGGAAGTCACGTAAAAAGCGGTGAGTTTCTCGAGAAGTTGTTGATCATGCAATTACCGAAGAGTTTTTCGTCTTTTTGTAAGCGTTGTTGAAGCGTTTGGCCTAGTAGATTGTATATCAGTATACCCTTCCAGGCTCTGAAGAAGGCGATACTGCTGTTTAAAAACCTCGCGATTGCTGAACAAGAAAACGACGCACTCATATTCCATTGCCGAGGTTAACAGAAAGTCGATCCTGGGAACTATGTATTTATATATTTATACGCATCATTCTCATTAAACATTAAGGAGCTCAAATGGAAACTGTTTAGTACCTTCTGTTGGCGATGTATAAGGCTCCGCAACATTGTGTGAGATCATCTAACTACTTCTTTTGTGAGAAAACAGTTACGGTCAGATCTATGGGCTCCGGTCAGTCTATTTCAGGACTCTAGGTAGAATCCAGTTGACCAGTATTCTGCGACATTCAACATGAAACGAAAGTTCTCAAGCAGCAGCCAAAGCCACACGTAATAGCGGGAACACCTTAGTGGATGACGCATGCAAAGAAACGATTAGAATGTGAGGATTGCTGGGATCCACACGGTAGATGTGGAGACGGGCCATATAAAATAGAAAAATGTTAATATTAATGAAGTTTATCATGTGCTAAAATGTGCCACTTTAAAAATGGAGCTCAAAATCGGGAAGATCAATTACTAGGATAAAGGATAAGGCTCTCAACGTTGGCTAATACTTGAAGGATTCGTTATGCATTCGACTTCATTGGTGGTCGTTAGAGGTGGTTAAATGACTATCTGGTCATTACAGTGACTTGCGGTGGCCTACCGATATATCGAGTCAGTGCTGCTCTCTTCTCATAGGGTTTGGTACCAAATTTTCCAGCCCAGAAAGCTGGAAGGCTTGTTGGGCCTGGAGCGTGGGTATTGATCCCATGTGTATTCGAAGGCGCCTTCGACCACTGCGCTATACTCGCCCCTTCACCACGACCAAGCACTCTGAACAGCTAACACAAACTCTCTAAGTGCGCTCTTGCTATAGAAAAACAAGCACAAATTATCGTCTATAACGTGAAAGATGCACACAAACATAATCACCTGTCGTGATCAAGAACATCGCGTATGGTGGACTTGATAGAATCCTCAGTCAATTCCAATTTCAGAATCACCTAAATATGTAAATTTTTGCTCAGGCTGGCGCGATTCTAGCTTAGTTCTCCTGCTGGAGCAGCTGCTTTGTCTATGTTTTTTAACCATATGTATACCATCATGTTTTAACTTTTGATTACACCCTATTCCTACTCCACGGGAAAGTACCATGTGTAATACAACCACGAGAGTGCTGAGATATAAGGAAAGCTAGAAACCTCAATTCGGCTTCGAATCCGCGATTACCGCTACCGGAAACAACGCAAAAGCCTCGGTTAGTGTGGTGCATAGAACGTGAGCCTAAGTGAAGGTAGCCATAGGTTCAAAGCGCAGCTAAGGTTTCGACTTTCGCTCATTTCTCAACATCCTTATAGTTGCATATACAACATCATTAGAGGAATGAAAGTTCAGTGTAGATTTAGCGTAGGATGTGGATTTGGAAGAAAGTAATCTTAGAGACCGTACGAATGAACTAGGATTTACAAGTTGTTCCAGTTAAAAAAAGTGGGTTTCATGAAAAGAATGAGAAGGAATAGAACCTTGCCCACTCCTCGCCTTTCGACATTTCGACCGTTACGGAACTGATCGGCGAATACGGGAATGACCACCACCGGTACACCTCGTAACATCGCCTCCGTTAGACCATTTATACCGCCATGCATCACGAAGAGCTTCAGTCTAGGATGAGCTAGAACGATGAGTTGTAGTATTGACAAGAGTTGTAAAAGTTATCCAATAATTTTACTTAGAATTTTTTTATAAAATACTTTTTCATTTATATGACTTCTCCACACATGTAAAGTGGATTCGAGCACTTCTTTAATTCTGTTCATTGTCTTCTACGTGTTATACTAAATTTTTTCGATTTGTACATGATTTCCTTTCCTGTTTTAAGACTTTTCTTCTTCAAAATATTGTTGAATGATGTTGAATTGATCCTGCCTAGACTTCAGGAATACCTCTGCTAGAGCGTTTCCATGTACTATGGATAGGAGCATGTTTTCGAAGACGGTTCTAATATCCACACCTGTCGGCATCGGTAGGATGATTGGCTTGCGTTACTGGGTGCGGGACCGAACCAATGACAATGCGTGTATTGAATAGAACCGCTCGTTACTGTATATTTCGGAAAGTGTTAACCTGCACCACCTATAGTCCCGCTGATCATTGAGTGACTCAAGCCGGAGCCGCTAAACCTTCCGTTTTTCCTTGTCGCGTGCAAGAGTAGCCCAGTAGATTCTGCTCGCTCTAGGGACTCGCTGAGCATCATATATTTCTTCTTGGCTTTTCATGAAGAACTTTGACCATCGGGTCGGTGGTCTTCCTGCAGTGCGATTGACATCTCGAGGAATCCAGTACTAACGGCTCTTCTCCATCGGTTGTCATCCATAAGCATTACGTGTCGAGCCCACCATATCTTCGACTGTTTGGCGCACAGAACGGCATCTTTGGTTTTTGATCTCTGACGCAGTCAGATGTTCGGATCCCTTCCCTTACATGCGGCGTGACACGGGATACTCCTAGCATCGTCCTTTCGATTGCACGTTCAATAACGTTGAGTGATTTTTCATCCTGTTTATGCAGCGCCCAGGTTTCTGACGTGTACGTTAGAGCAGGAAGTATCGTTGAATCGAAAAGGTGGAAATGGAGTCGTGTCTTCTTTGTTTTCCTCACTACATCCTCGATGCTCTTGAAAGCTCTCCAAGCCGCTCGTTTTCTTCTGCTCAACTCTGAGGCTAAGTCGTTCATCTTATTGATTTTCCGATCTAGATAGACATAACTGGAGCATTCGGAGATATTTGTTCCATCGAGCGTGAATGGGGCATTCGAAACCAATCCGTTCCTCATGAACATCGTTTTTGTGAGATTTAGTCGTAGACCAATCTTTCCATAGGCTTTGTCAAAGTCGGAAAGCATTCGTTCTGCTTGGTTAATGCTTAGTGTTATAACCACAATATCAGCAGCAAAGTGAAGGTGGTGTAATTGCCGACCATTGATTTTCACCCCCATATTGTCACATTCCAATGTTCGCATGACGTTGTTGAGAGTGGCTATAATTTTGGCGAGATGGTATCGCCTTGCCTAAACACTCTTTTGACGTCGATTTCAGAATCGTTGTAGAATGCTGATATCTTGTAATAATTCCCACGACTGACTATCTGTTAACCTCTTCATTGATCAAATAATTTATTATATTCTTTGCCGAGCAAACACGAGGTGTTATTTTATTCCTTATTCACGAACTAGCTGACATTTCGGCGGATTTTGCTTTCTTCAGAGACTGGAAAGGTCAAGTTGACAGCAATCTCTTTGGCCAAACACCTCCATAACCAAACAGAAAAAATGCTAAACGAAGATTTCAATCACATTGAACACAGAATAGCTTCTTTGCACACTCACCGTATCCTATGAGTCCTCCACTAAATATATCACTTGGAGAACAACCGGAGAGAGTTTTCATGGAAGCGTAATGTGCCTCTCTCATCAAAACAGCAGTCTTGAATGCTGCCCGATACCACGCGTGATTATGAGGCATCGCTCGCTAAGGTTCATTTTCGGATTTTTGGAATTAATCTATAGAGTCTCGAGAGTTTTGCGCGCTTGTGTTCTCGATTCCTGTGCGAGGATCTGGACACGTACTTCAAAGTCCTCCTCGTTATATCTCTGGGTCCTATGCGTGCCTAGTGAGGTATTTGGTTTACGTTTGTCGACTAGGTGTTCTTTTATGCGGTCGCAGAGTGGTCTACCCGTTTCGCCAACGTATTCGTTCCCGCACGCTCTACAAGAGATCAGATAGACCGGAACTCATGCAATCACCGTCTCTACCATCAGGGAAAATGATGAAATTTTGCGCTGCACATAGATACAGGCGGTTGCGAATTAGCTGGCTCCTTAGATTACTCGACGGCATTTCAGTTATCGTTACCGAATTCTCTAGACCGGCCCTTCTCAAGCAGCGTTTTATAGCTGCACTTAATTCACCTGAATGAAGCTGAGGACCTTACGGGGACCTTATGGGACCTTATTGTCGCTAGAGTTATCGTTTGGAGAAGGAGGAGGAGAGGGCTGGGATTTCCTCTACACATATCGCGAGCTACGGCTTCCTAGCCATTAAAAATGGCTATTTGCCGCGCCAAATTACGGCACTCACCCTGTGCTCTCTTCCTCTGCATACGCTGGTGGCTGTTCGAAACATGTTTCTCACAGGCGCTCTTTTTGTGTGAGGGGTAAGAGGAGAGGTAGTGAACCAAGATGTTTTTACTACTTGGCTTTCGGTACCATTTCGTAATGCAGCCGTTTCCTGATAGGTTAATTTGTACATTCAGAAATGGAATCCACTTTTCTTTGAGTTTCTTTCGCGTGAACTTAATATGCTCTGACTACGTTAATTCAGTAACTCAAAACATTGTCCATTTCCTCTTGTGTTGAGCAAATGACAAAACAGTCATTTATATATCTACGGCAGAGTACTGGGTGGAGATCGGTAACTGGTTCTTCCACTTTCGACATAAGTGCGATGGCAAGGCTTGGTGCCAGTCGTTGTCCCATTGCCAGCCCTCGCATTTGTGCGTAATACTTCTCGGATCATCTGAAGATGGAGCAGTTTTGGTACTCTTTTAGGAGTACCATCAACTGCTGAACTGTGAAACCATACATGTTTATTTCTCCTTCGTGTTGTAAAATGAGTTTGAGCATACTGCATAGCGGAGTCATTCGACACGTTTGTATAGAGAACGATGACGTCGAAGGACTCCATCACGTACGCGCTGCTGGGCTGCGCAGTACGTAGACGATCCAAAAACCTACGTATTCGTAAGATGGACTGGAATGTACTTTAACAACTGGGTAAGGATTAGGGTTATAAACCACGTCATTATATCCGTTGGCTCGCCTATAACGATGGGTCGGTAGACATAAGATCACCGCTAGATATCAACTTATGGGTTTTCATAAGTACGAGATGCGATATGTCGGCAGGTGAACTTTGAGTTGAAAGACAACTGATGGTTTTACCCAGCCGCTCTTGCCATTTTGACCCATTCGTGGTTCAATTGTCGGTATCTAATTTTGAATTCCTTCTCAGACGATGGACGGTAGAGTAAAACATCTTCGAGATGCTCTTATTTACCTCAACATCTAACTGATGGGGAATTGCTACAAACTCTTCACCCTTATCACTAACGGATAGCCCTATGTTTTTCAACCTTATCATCTCTCGTACCTCCCGCATACCACGTTCTTACACTTCAGTGAGAATGAAGCAGTATGTTTTCGCGCGTGTTTTAATTAGTGAATAAGGACTTTGAAAATTTCAGTGGTAAATAACCGAAATTTAACGTCTACTTCATCACTGAGTTTTTGTTGTCTAAAGAACGGTTGATGAAATGTTGGTATTGGTAATGACCCTACTTGTTGTTGTTCGCGTCTATTTAGCATTTCATACCTAGCTTTCTTGCGGAGTCTATCTCGAAGTTCATGAAAACTATATGCGACCCAATGCAAGGTTATCTTAGAAATGGGTTCAGATGGTGAGAAACTCGGTCCCAATTCTAATAACGAGAGCGCACCGTCAGGAAGAGTCATGCCACCTAACAGGGTTAGCCTTGAATTTTCTTGCACATTTTTATCCTACTGTGACTTGTTTGATGCTCGTTAGCGGTATTTCTGGGCGCTCTTGATGCCGTTTTATGGATTTACTCGAACGGTTTTCTAATTTTCTCCGCAAAGTCACTTTAGCAATAGACCTAATAGAGATTCAAATCAACGCTAACCCACCCACTCCTCTATAGGCGGTCCTCCAAATAATGAACACAAAAGTTGCCTTCGTCTCGCACTCCTTCCACTTGACGAACATCTGGTTTTGTTTGCTTCGTAGACAGGTTCACAGTATTCGTAATTCGATGTTTAGTTTTGATGAGGTTTGAAACGTTTCATTCTTTTAGACAGCGGCGGAGAAAGCGTGTTGCCTGTCGACCTAAGACGACCTTTTAGCTTAGCGACAGCACTTCTTTTACATGTCAGAAGTTCGTAGACGGCAAACAGCAAGCAGATTGGGCTGAAGTTGCCTATATCGTGGAGGTCTCCGTTCTTGAATATTAGCATGATCTTGCTGGTCTTACCCTGAGTAGCTTGCATTTAGACAGGTAACGTGTAAAGAGCCGAGCCAGTGTGTTTGCGAGGACTGGCGGAAGGTTCCTCAGGTGTTCTGGTCTTATCCTGTCCGGACCTCGTTCTGTTCGACTTTTCACCGACGAAATGACATGTCGGATTTTGAAAGGAAGAAATGGTGATACAAAATATCCATCCTCCTTTATTTCATATGACAGAAGGTCGATTTGGCTATCGAAGAAATTTGAGTAGTATTCGGGAATGATTTTCTCCATTGCCTTTCTGGACGCTGTAACTGTTCCATCTAGGCGTCGTGGTTGCATGGAGTTTGCGCGATTCCACTCTGGCGTATCAGCTCGAGTGCTTCTGGAAGCAGACGTCTCTTGGTGACTTTCGAACTCTCAGCTTTCATAGCGCTAACGTTAAGATGTTGAATAAGCCGATCGTATTCTTCGTCGATGTTATCGACAATGGCATCTTCCCAACAACCGACTAAAGAATCGAATAAGTCCCAGTTTGCAGTGGTTCTGGGACTTCGGTTTTGGAATTTAGC